AGGGCAGTTCGTAAGTAGAGGTAAATTTTTGGGGCCGGAGCTGGTTGTATCTTGAAAATTTTGTAAGTAGGGCAGTTCGTAAGTAGAGGTAAATTTTTGGGGCCGGAGCTGGTTGTATCTTGAAAATTTTGTAAGTAGGGGTGTTCGTAAGTAGAGGTACCTACTGTACCAGGTGGGGGCTGGACCAGATGATCTCCACAGTCCCTTTCATTCTATGAAGCTATTATCCCACTTCTTCCTCTGTGCCATTAAGACAAAACAAAGTTCAGGGGAATTTCTTGGTGGTTATACTATAGATTATATAATTATTGTATTGTATTCTATTATCTATCCTGATGGAAGAGTTTCATGGAATTAAGCACTTACAGTAGTTTGTAACATTTCTCTTGACCTTAACAGCTTTTCTCTAAACCATGTAACTATGAATTGTTAAATAAAACTGAATCAAAACAGGGTCAATTTTTGAGGCTGCTTTTTATTGGCGAAATGATTGGTGAAATGATCGAAACATCACTTCACCAGATCAAAAAATGGTTTAATCTTTTACGTGAACATGGCCAGCAATGGACCAAAAATCGCTCCATGAGCTTCTCGAGCAAAATCTGCACTTAAACCCAGACCAACAACTACCAGAATGTTATATTAGTCTTCACATATCCAAATCCAATAAGAGAAGTGTGATTAAAAATCATAAACATACAAAATGTAAGCCAAAGCACGAGAACGAAATGAGCAGAGACTCCAGCATTAAAAGCCAAACAAGCCAAGCAAAAACACATTAAAAAAAAAATTGGAAAAACAGCAGGAAGACAAATGTGAATTAAAAGCCGCTATCAGGAGACCATTCTGACACTTCCTGACCTGGAAGCCCCCCTGAGCTCAACAGGATTCACATCCCGGGAGAGCAATTTGGCCATAGATGGAGTGTAATGGGAAAGAGAAGAATCTGGAATGAGAATTCCTGAACTTGCCAGAGTTAATTAAAATACACATTCAATTTCTTATTTCCTCTCCCCCGCCCCCGCCAAATCCCCAAATACATTTTGTGCCACAATGTGGTTTTCCACCTCCAGGGAGCTGTGTTTAGAGTCCCCTTATCCTAATATGCACAAGGGAGATTTCTGCTGAATTACCAGGGGTGTCCACAGGGAAGGGGTCAAAAAAGATAGAGCCAGTCCTGTGTAACTAAAGCCCTGCCCCCTTTTTAAAAAGTTGCATGGTGGTGGAACTTTCTGAGTCCATCCTTCCTGAGATTTAGCTCAAGAGTTTTTCTCCAAGAGTTAGACAACGTAAAAGGGAATCCAGAAATGACATCTCTACTCACTGGCCAAGACTTGGACGCTTTAGGAAGGAAGAGGTGAGAAAGGAAGTGGGCACTGGCAGTTCTCCAAGTCTGAAATTATTGGAAGATGGCAACTTGCAAGGGGGAAAAGAAAGTGCCACTTAGCTGGAGGAAGCCAAGGTGAGCAGAAAAGGGGACCTTGAATTTTTTTTTTTTAGGAATTTAATGCCCATAGAGCAGTGGTTCTCAACCGGCATACCATGGGCTTGTTTCTACTGTGCAACGAGATTGTCTTATTCTATTTTTTTCCCCAATGTTTCTGTATTACATATATTCTGTATAATCTGTATATTCAATACAGAGCAGATATTTCAAAAACAATTGTGTAACTTCCCCTCAAACCACATCTTACGCATTTAAAAATATGTATATATGACTAATAATTTTCTGGTGGGCCGCAGAACTACTACATTGAACATTGTGCCGTGGATTCAAAAAGGTTGAGAACCACTGCTTTACGGCAAAGGACGACAGAGACCCAAATGCTGAGCAGAGGTGGGGAGGAAAGTGAGTTTGTAGCATTAAGAGTCCTCAAAAAGGAGTGTCCTTGGATTGCTTTTGGGTATAAGCTGCACACATCTCTAGGATTTTTCTAAGCTGGTGATCAAAGATGACACCCAGGGGGACGTCCTTGCGCAAACGGTGCCAAAGACGTTCTTTGGGCCATCCGCATCACATTCCTCTGTGTTTGGCCTCCCTTGGGCCCCACAGACCAGTGTTTCTCAACTTTGGCAGCTTTAAGATGTGTGGACTTCAACTCCCAGAATTCGATGCTGGCTGGGGAATT